GGAGCAAATGGATCTTCAGTGGATGGTCACATTCAAGTCTCTCCAGAAGTAGAGATAACTTAACCTCATCCTCGATCACCTCTGGGAGGAAATGGAGAGGGGCTTCTTACTCCACCTTGTTTGGAACCACCAGGCATTGAATCCTTGAATGGAAATGTTAATGATTTCATCTGTCCTCTTGCTGAAACATGAAGGAGGGCAACGTTTTATAAAAATAACAGGTTTAAAAACCTTAAGTGCCCTCAACCTTTCTCTCCTATTCAGCTTTAACTCATTTTTATGTTTCCTAGTGATTAACATTTTGGAGATATGATATTGCTCTTGTGGAAGATTTCCTTAGTGATTCCGTCTTTGAGGAACGACTGAGAGTGAAGACCAGAGTAAAATGCATCATAAAACCTCTGATAAACTCTGCAGCAGCTTCAGAGTCTGGTAGGAAATTTAAAGCAGAACCGATGAAACATTAATACCAAAGATGTATCAGTTTAATGTTCTTAGAAAATATAATGCTCACACTGACATTTTCACAGTCATCTTCTGCTTACATATTTATTTTTCTTTCAGTCACATAAAAAGAACATCTTCTTTCTTCTTTTTCAGTCATTCATTACTTTCGGTTTTGTCCAAACACACAGAGCTCAGCAGATATGGGGCAAGTTTTCTGCCATAATTTGAGAGCACACATTTTCAGTCTAAAAGCAGGATTACATGTCTTTGGGTCTAAAAACGTTTAGTACATTTGCTTACATTTTCATTTTGAAAGCAAGATTACATGTCTTTCTTCTCAAAACTTGTAATGTTTCTACTCTATGGGGGAATTTTTCTGCCATAATTTGAGAGCACAGATTTTCAGTCTGGAAAGTCTCCCGTAAGCAGAGGAGGATTTCCTCCCTCTGCTACATTCATTTAAAACCAGTTCAGCCAGAAGCCTGAAGCTGTTTACCTGAAATTAACTCAGAGAGATTTGACCCATGTACTTAAAAACTGCTTTATTTCAATCTGATGTTATTGAAGTTTTTATGAAATTGGAAATAAGTGACAAACTAATTGAAGCAGTATTGATGTATATAAATGTATGCTCAAATTTAATATTCTAAAATTCAACAACGTATGAAAACAATGTCAATAATACCACTATATATGTTGACTTTTGTCAACAACATTTGATCAAAACAGGACAGAATCAAAGAGCTGGTTTCACTTCGTCAGCTACTTATAATGATGATAAACTATTTCAGTGAAAAAGGTCACAGGTAAGAGATGAAACACCAGGAATGAATAAAAAAATCACAGAGAATAAAAGATCAAGACAAGAGTTCATTCTTTCTAAGCTTGCAGAACTCCGCTCTGTGTCCACTGTAATAAAACCTAAAGCCAGCGTGAAGCGGCTGAGTGAATCTGGTCTGGACTCTGTGGATCAGAGTCATGGATTCAGAGACGCTGTAGAAGGACAGAATACCTGCTCTGTGGTCCAGGTACACTCCGACTCTGGAGGAACCTGGACCTGAGATGGAGGTTGAGATGTTGTTGTGCCAAAAGGTAAAACCATCCTGAGAACAATCTAAAGCCCAAGATCTGTCATTACGTGCAAAATTACACTCACAGCCTTTGCCTGCTCTGATGATGTTCTTGTATGTAACCGCTATGTAAACATGAGTTTCTCTCCACTCCACCTCCCAGTAACAACGTCCAGTCAGACTCTCTCTACTCAGAACCTGACAGTAATCAGTGAATCTGTCTGGATGACTGGAATAAGACTGAGGTTGGTCCATCACGGTTGCCTTCCTGTTGTTTTCTGATAGAATCAGGTATTTTTGTGCCGTGTTTGGATCCAGAGTGATTTCACGTGAATATCTTAAGAATTCAGCTCTGGTCTTTGGTTCTGGTTCTGACAGTAGAACATCCACCCCAGTGACCATCAGTGAGATGTTTGTCCATGAGTCTCTCAGGACGTCCTGTAGTTTCTCTCTGAGCTCTGACACAGCTGCTGTCACGTCCTCAAAGTGTCTCAGAGGACGGATGTTGATGCTGGATGAGTGTGTCGACTCACTGAGTGCTGGCAGTGAGGGGTAGTTGAGGAGAAACTGGTTGTGATCCTCTGTGTGTGAGAGCTGCTCCAGCTCAGCGTCTTTCCTCTTCAGCTCAGTGATCTCCTGCTCCAGCTTCTCCTGAACATCTTTGACTCGACTCTCTTCAGTTTCCTGCTGGGATCTTATCTGCTGCTTCACATCAGAGCTTCTTTTCTGGAGGAGACGGATCAGCTCAGTGAAGATCTTCTCACTGTCCTCCACTGTTTTATCAGCAGAGTGATTGATGGCCTCCACCTCCTGTTGAAGCAGCTTCACATCTTTCTCTCTGTCCTGGATTCTCTGCTGGATGTTTCCTCGTCTCTCCTCCAGCTCTCTCTGCCTCTCAGTCCTTTCTGCTGCAGCTGACACTGTGTCATGGCCTTTATGTTCATCCACAGAGCAGATGTTCTCCTGGAGGTTCTTGGACGGCTCCACCAGCCTGTGATTCCTTAATTGAGGCTCATCAAAATGAGCCTGAATGTGTTTCTCACAGTAAGAGGCCAGACAGACTAAACAGGACTTGATGGCTTTCAGTTTTCTTCCAGTACAGAAATCACAGGCCACATCTTCAGGTCCAGCATAGCGGTGATCAGCAGGAGCAGCTTGCAGTCCAGTCTTCTGCAGCTGCTCCACTAAAGCTGCTAACGTGATGTTCTTCCCAAGATCAGGTCTCGGTGTAAATGTCTTCCTGCACTGAGGGCAGCTGTGGATTCCTCTCTTATCCTCTTGGTCCCAGAGATTTTTGATGCAGTTCATACAGTAGCTGTGTCCACAGGGAATCGTCACCGGATCCCTGAATATGTCCAGACAGATGGAACAGGAGAAGCTTTCTCTGCCCAGCTGATCTTCTTTCTGCTCCATTTTGTCTCTCAGTTATAGTCACTATCTGAAAATCCCTTTTATTTTTAGACTTCAGGGCTGAAGGGGAGGAATTAAATAAATATGAGAACAAAGAGCAGCTGTGGAGCTATCAAGGCTTTACATGCTGCACCCATCGGAGTTTAACCTTTATACAAGGAAACTTCTGTTAATCATTAATGTGATGCCACATGACAGCCTCAGTTTATCCAGTCAGTTGTTTTATTTTTAAGGAAAAATTTATTTATGGAAATTCCATAGGAAACCATAAAATATCTGAACTAAAATGTTCCCCAAACTCCAGAAAGAGTTCTTCTTGAACTCTAAAATTTAGTCCATTACAGTCAAATTAAATATTAATAGTTTTTCATGGAGTGTAAAACAGTCCATCTTTATGGCTATTATAATATTCAGTTTTAAACTTTAATCTGATAAGCATTTAGATGTAATAACAGAATAAAATAAAGGAGTTGTGTAATCAGAAAGTGTGTAGTTAAAAGTGAAACCAAACATGTTATCTCAAGTTGAGAAACTCCTGGTATATTCAAACCTTTGGACTGAAACTGGAGCTCCTCTAAACACTGTCAGCATCTTTAAATCCATTTATTATCTGATGAGTCTTCACTCTGTTTCATAAGAAGGTAGTTGACTTTTTTCTCTCTCTATCTGACATTAAATAAGATTATTCAGGATTATCAGAATAAAGTTTTGGAAAGCATGTTAGCCCAGATATTGAAGTATTAAGGACAAATAAATTGCCTCTCATGTGACATCATGGAAAAATCTAAAGAAATCAATCAGGAGAGTTACGACCTCCACAAGTCAGGTTTGTCCTTTGGTATCAAACTCATCCGATGTTTAAAGTGGTCATAACTCTCCGTATGTCGGTAACAGACAGCAAACTTTACCGTTTCTCCTGTTTTCAGGATGAATCAGCCAAAATCCCAGCAAACTCTTGAAACATCTGGAGTAGAAAACCAGGAGTTAAAAAGCAAATTCTACCAAATAAATGTAGTGACTGCAAGAAAGTTATAATAATCTCAAATTATTCTGGTATTTAGAAAAAATAAATTATTTTGGTAAGAAAGATGTGATTTAATGTCGGCTGTTCTGAATCCCTTTAAAGCTGCAGAGACAAAACTTATACATTTTCTGTGACGTTTACATAAATAGTAACTTATTTATTCTCTCAAAGCCTGTTGGTTTACCTGTAAACACACCTGACTGTTTTATTTGACCTGAACCTGAGTCATGCAGAGTGATAACACACATCAACAGTGTGTGAGATGCAGCATGAGTTCATTTACTCTTGAGTAAGATTTTAGATTCGTAAGCAAATTTTGGATTTATTGACTTGCAGCTTCTCTTGGTTATTGTTTCTTTTCTTAGTTGGTGTTTCTGTTGAATTCAGGCTGTAATAATTCTTTACCTGTTTATTGTCTGGATAGATTTCACACCAAACACGTCTTGATTTTCTTGACACAGTTCTACTTTTTATGAAAATGTTCCTTTATTGTTGTAACTGCACATCTAAATGATTTTGTTTCTGTGAGCCTTCAGTCTCATGAAAGAGACGGAAACAGTTGAGAGAAGGTTGTTATTAACCAGGAAGCCACCAGGTGGCGCAAGAGCAACACAGAAATGAAACATCTCAGTTTTTCTAATTGTTTCTTTATTCAAGAAGAGAAACATTTTTTATTTATTATGATCAACTGAATAATTTTTTGATTGTGTCCTTATGTTCTCTAGTACTCTACAGAAAACCTGCCGTTTCTATTTTGTTTCAGATAAAACATTCAAAGATTAAAAACATGGATTTACATTTTACAGTCACTTTCCTAAAATAATGACCTCATGATATCTCTCTGATTAAAAATGTGTCTTGTTAAATGTTTTACACTTTTTGGGGTAAATAGACAGAATAATGAGTTTTTAGCAGTTATCAGAAAAGGTGCAGTTTTAAAACAAAAAACTATAAAATAATACTAATTAGTCATTAGAATATTAGTGAAGGTGAAATGCCTGCTGCTGCATAAGTGCATTTGTTTCATAATATTATAGAAATGAAGTGACATCATCACTTTATGTCCCAGTTTTTAAAGCCCAACAGTTCAGATGACTTGAAGGCAAAAGAGTCGCTTTATTTTTGATCCCTGAATGTGACAAATATGGGAAAAGCTGCAGTTCCAGGAGACAAGAACAGATGAAAAGAATCAGATTTTATTTCTGGAAAAGCTCGGGGGAAGGACTCCAGGTTGGACTGATATTTTACCGTTTTCTTCATGGAGCTGCTGTTAAAACTTCAGGTCAGTAACGAAATGACTGCAAAGCAAAGCGGGACGACTTGGCCCAGATACTGTCAGTTATTCACAAACTGCAAATTAAAACAAGATCTGCTTCTTCACAAAGCTAAATGGGTCAATAAATGTATCAGACAATTCAGCTTTACAGTTTTCACTCCACACAAATCGTCCCAACAAACAGCAGAGCCACAAATACACTGACAAAAATGTTACGTTGGAATAACTTCAGGGCAAAAAAAGAATCTTAAACTTTTGTAGATACAATCTTATAAAATGATTGTGTTATAAGATTTCTTCTTTTTTGGGGGTTGATCATTTCCTTATTTGGGTTGAATGCTTTGAGTAAAAGTATGTTTGAGTTTGAGTATCTCAACATTGTAAAACGTGTAGTAAGTTTTAGTTCAGCTGTTTTTACTAGAATTCAGCTTTAGGTAATTTTATTGTCAAACATTTGATTTCAAATTTATTCTGTTTTTCATTGCATCTCATCTTGTTTGTGTATTTATGGATTTGACTAAACTGGAAAATGTTTTTAAATTCAAAATCCTGTTTAAAATATGTTTTCTGGAAGTTTCTTCTGGAGGTTTATATCTGTTAAAGAGGAGTTTCCCCCTTCTTTCAGCACTCTAAAATCTTTTTCATGTCAAGTTTCATTAATAAATCACAATAGTTCCAACTTTAATCTGAAATTCCTTCTTTATTAATACTGAAGGAACCGAAAATAAAAAGGAAAGTTTATCATTTCTGTGAAAAAAGGATTTATGGGACACAGAATTCGACAGAGAGCCGATTCTGTTGTTTTGCTCCTGATCTGCTTTGGGTTGATCAGAAGAAGAGAAGCTTTCATGTGTGACGGCGGCAGGCAGTGATGTCCTGAGGACGACGGCGACTGTGAGCTCAACATTCAGGGACTTCGCCGTTACAATGAGAATTTAATAACCAGATTTAATAAAGTTTGATGCTGTTTCTGCCCTCCAGTTAAATGACAACTTTCAGAAAAAATATCAACTTTTAAACGTCGCATAGCTAATTTTAAACGTCGCATAGCTAATTTTAAGGGAGTCTCAAAATGCAGTGAAGCTTATTGTCTAACTTGCTACACACATTGTAACTTTTAAATGAAAAGTTGTGAGCTGGAGTTGCAGAATTTTAAACAGAAATTGGCAAAAACTTTACAAAAATGTCGAGTGATCCTTAAAAGTTTGCAAATGAAAATGCATGCGCTGCAAAAGCAAAAGTATTTTGTTTAGTTTTGAGAGCAAATATGTTTGTAGACGTGAAATAAAACAAAACTAATGAAGTAGTAGCTGTTCAGCAAGACATAGGAATTTGTTTGAAGTAAATAACTTAATATTGACAAAAGAGTTTTTGATCCTGTGATTATTTCACTTATAACAAGGAAAACATGTCTTGCTTCAAGTGAAGTAATTATTTTCTTAAAACAAGCTTCTATATTTTGCTGAAAATCTACTTGAAAATGAGTTTTGTCTTTTTTCAAGAGTACCAAGATATTTGCACCAGAAACTAGATTGAAATAAATCATATTTAAAATAAGATTTTGTGTTTTTGCAGTTTGGACTCACAGTAAGCCGACTAGTGAGACTAACTAACCTCAGCTCAGACTCAGCTTTGTGGTTACAACATAATGTTTCCATGGTAACCGTCCTTTTAGCTCAAAAATTGAGACAAAGTTATTAATTAT